TAGAGAAGCGAAATAAAAATAGATGTAGAGAGACAAGAATGTGTATCAGAATATAATGTTAATCAAAAAGTGTTGCAAGAGAATTTGACTAAATTTCGGAAAGATATATGCACAAAACTAACATATAATATTTTCGATCGCATTCACATTCTAAAATACATTAATTTCATAAAATAGACGTCATAAAATTATTGGACCAGGTTATCTAGTTTAAAATAGTTAATAACCTTCTTTATCCGCGCTTAATAGTCAGGAAAGTACTATTTTCGTTTCTTTTTGCTTCGGCCATAAGCTATCGCTTCTAAACACTTCTTACTTTACTATCTTCCGACAAAGAAGTTATCACTTCTAAACACTTTATATGCTTTTCCTCCTTTGCTACAACTCTTCTGCCATGTTCGTATATATGAGTGTACAGTGAATCTTCGATTATATGACTCTAAATCCAAGTTTGAAAACAAAAACCCCTACATTTTGATTTTTCTATACACATAGTAAAAGAGCCATACACATACTAATAGTCTTCAAAATAAAGTCTTACGAAATAGTCTTCCCACCTTGGTTATACTTTTCAGCATGTCTCCCAACTCTATAAACCAACGACCATCAGGATTGTTCCAACATCTCTTAAAAGTGGTCAATGGTCGTGGACCAAAACAGATTCGGTGGTGGACAAAGACCACCGTGGTGGTGGATGGTGGTGAACACAGATGAAGATGGTGGTGGATGGTGAACAGAGGCGGAGACGGTGGTGGACAAAGACGAGAAATATTGTGGACGAAAATGTTTATCATAGTGGAGAAATAATAACTATGGGTATAAATGTCTTTTTTATTTCGTGAATAATTTTTTTGGTAGATTTTGAAAGGTTTTTTAAAATTTGGTAGATTTGGAAGATTTTTTAAAAATTGAAATTTTTGGCAATATTCTCTTTTTTGTATTGATATTTTTGACTTTTGATTTCGAGATTTAAATTCGCATCCATACAAATACTTTTAACTGGCCAAATGAACACTGCTTGCACATTTACATCGACATATTGCATCTGAACGCGAAAATGAACTTTGCCTAAACATAGCTTAAGAAAATCCTGTATTAATGAAACTTTTCATACCTTCCAAATATAAGAGTGCATTTGTTTTAAGAGATCGTGTCGGTAGCGAACATGTATGGAGCCATCTAATAAAGATCATGAAAATCCGAGTTTGAGAAAAGCTCGCGGAAAAAAAGGTGATAACATTTATTATCAACAACGTTTTTTAGTGTGTAACTAGAGCATTTGAACATGGTTTCGATTTTAGATTATACACGATAAACTTCACTTAATATCTAAGTTCTTCATAGTTTACCTTTACATATAAAAGAATTACCGGAAAATTTTATTTAAATATGGATCTACCACAACCATATTTATTAATGCAAGTATTGACATATACTAGTTAGTGAACCGTTAATTATGATAAAATTAACGTTCCATAAACATTTACAAATTGATAGCTCCTTGACAACGGTGACGGAATGTTACCAATGGCAATATGATTGAGAAGTTTTTCAGCCATGGGATTA